CCTGCTCTTTTCACGCTGCGCTCGTCGCGAATGCGACATTGTTGGTCGCCGTGGAACCGGTTGGACGTCGTGTAAAACTTGACGAAAAATGAAATTTCCCCCCCTCCCCCGGCACCCATCGTCTCCGCTTCCTTTTCTTCCCTTTCCTTTCCATTTTCCAGAAAGGAGAGGAGCAACCATTCCTGCGCTCCTCTCGTGAAGAAGAACGCGAGAAACGCTGTTACAACGCTGGTCTATCTTTTTTTTTTTTTTTCAAATATCAAGGCTGTATCCTTTTTACTTCGATTCTTGTTTACTACATCTCGATCTCGTGTTCTTCGTGTAAATTGGAAAAGACGATGAGAATTTATATTTATGTTCATTTGAAATATGTATTATATTATGTAGAAGAACTAGGCGATGAGAATTTATTATTGGAATTTATATTTATTAATTATTATTCATTCAGAGGTATTTAAATAAATTATACTCCATCATGTTTTGCGTAAATTAAGTGAAAAAATGAAAATTTAATTACGATGGATGATCAGAAGAAGGATGATCAGATCAGGTTTATTTAATTTTGATCCATGCTGCAACTTTTATTATTGGAAGATAATGAAATAAAATGTAGAAAGTTATATTATTTATTCGCAAGTTAATCATTATAATTTATATTAGCGAAATATAGCAGAATTTATATTTATAATTTTTATTCGTAGAAATTATATTTATTGAATGTTCAAAGTTTCGAAAGTTTTCTAGCTAAATTAAAGTGAAGTTGTAATTGAAGATATAAATGACTCGTTACAAAGTTATTTTAGGCAAAATATTAAATAAAATTTGTATACAATAACAGATTAAGAATATTAAAAAAGTTGATCGTTTTTTATTTGCACTTACTTGATATTTTTTAATTTACAAGTTAAAAATATTTTAAGCGAAATAAGATTTCGTTAATGCAGAATTTGCTGTTACGTCTATTAATATTTATCTGGAAAAATAATTATATAGTATTCCAGTAATTATTCTAGTAACTTAATCTAAAAAAAATATTTTAATTTTCTTTTTATGAAAATTTAAAATTATAAAAAAAATATTTATATTCTATTTACATTAAATCAGAAATGGAATTTATTATTTATTCAAATATTTATTAATCTCTTTAAAATTTTAAACCGCTGAGTTGATAATGTATATAAATTGTAGTTACATTCAAGTTATGTAACATTTAAATTATTCAATCGTGGAATTAATAATTACATAATCCTTAAATTATCGATTTTATCAAGAATATTTAATTGTATTTTTTACAAATTTCTTCCATTCATATACTTATATAAAATATATTTGCAGAAATGAATGCTTTTAAATTCTTATTTATTAATGTTATTTAAATATTCAGAAATATGCAGATAAATTCTTTTCAAAAATTCAACATAAGTTTCATAAAGCTTCTTAAAGTCTTTCTTAAAGACAAGCGTTGAGATTGTACAAGAAAAAAAGAGAATAATTTTGGATATGATTGTTGAAAGTAACTTTACAGGAAAATGTGATCTTCTTGTCTAAGATCCAAAATAATAAACAAGATATATTTATTACACATCTGAATAGCACATAGAATCTTTCTGTTACTATTTCTGTTACTAAAATATTGTAAATATAAAATTTATATAATTTTCTTTCCAATATCTAATTATATAATTCTATAATAAAATTTTGTCAAAATTAAAAATTTGTAAGATTCCAATACACCAATCCAAAATTAATTGGAATCACCATGATAATGTGATAATCAAGTAATTGACTGAAAAATATTACAAATATCTTCAAAATTCGTTTTTCATCAAGAAAAATATCCAAGTTTTATTACAAGATCCTGTGTGATCAGTGATACAGTGGAAACCGGTTAATCGATTAAAAATTCACTAATACCAGAACCAGTTTTAATCTGTTGCCCTAAAAACTGTGTTTAAATCAATGTCTAAAAATAAAGAGACGACGAATATATAATATAATTCTTCTATATATAATATAATTCTATATAATATAATATAATTATATATAATATAATTCTGTTGTAACACACGACAAATTGTCATTTCTTCGTGTCGAGTACACACTCGTACATAATGATGCACGGTTAATAGGTTAAGAGCAATGTTAGTTGATTAATAAACTATTCTAATTGGCGAGAATGATAGAACGTGTCGTTTACCGGCTCAGTGGCTCGTAAAGGGCATTTGCGCCAATTAACTTTCCTTCACGGGGATGCGTCTCTCTCTCTCTCTCTCTCTGTCTCTGTCTCTGTCTCTCTCTCGCTTCACGATGGAATTAACAAACGAAGGCATTGTAGGACAATGCCCAATTCAATTATCCGACCCCGGTAAACACCGGCCAACCAACGTTTAACAACTTTACACGATTTTGTCATTGCCGCTTCGCACAGAAACAATGTTTTTCTTTATGCAGATATTCGTCTGTTAATTAAATTTTCAGACTTCCAACTTGATATTTTTTTTTTTTTGCTTCTGTGTAAAGCAAACTGTGTAATTCTTTCGCGTAACTGCGTATTCCAACTGTTTTACGTGTTGGAAAATGAATAAAGTGATTCTTGTTTATTGTACGATAAGATATGGTGTTTAAACGATTTTTACAATCGGTGAATTAAGAATGTAAATTGTGAAAATCTGATGTAAATTAGATATTCATGGATGAAGCTACGTTGGCTACGAAATGTTTGAAATGTTGGAGAAAGAGAAACGTGGAAGAGAAAAGTATGAAAATTAGAGATTCTTTTCTTTTACCTCTTGTTACTTATTCTTTTTCTTTTATTCATAAATACTTTCACGAGAATCGAGAATTGTTGTTGTTTATCAGTTCTATAAAACCTGTATAAGATTTTTCTATAAATATTCATGACAGCTGTTTAAAATCTATGTTTCCGTGAATCAGTGATGATTTTCTTTCGACAGTTCAAATTTCGATGTTTCGCTCTGATTCATCGATCCCATTTATCGTGCCATTATACGCATTCGTGAAATATTTTAGGAAGAATTCTCAATTCTAGAAACGAAAATAAATATAAAAGTTGATATTCAAAAATATTTATTATTATTTATTAAGTTATGAGCAAATAATTTAAATAAATTTTGAAAATTTTCATTTGTTCATTTTATTTCTTTGATAAAAATTTCATAATGTTTAAACTATCCGAATTGAATTAATAATTTTTATTTATTATTTTTACAGACAACAGAGTTAATTTATCGCAAAAAAAACAAATCAACAAGAATGCTGACGTTCTAATATTATTGACCCATTCAATTTTATCTAAATGAAAATGTTCATTATACAAAGTACTGAGAAATATGCGATGCTCTTGGATAAGTTCTACAAAATGTATTCCACGATAATTGATTGCTAAACTTAGAAAATTGATATGAGATTAAAAACCTATCAAAGAATAACCTTACATATTGTATTTTTAAAAATTCACTTTTTAAAACAAGAATAAAGTGTAGTTTCGAAAACATTAAATATTATAAAATCGTGATATTTCTATAAAATATTTATATAAAATTTAATAAATACTCGTATATAAATGAATAAAAATGTTTATCTCCTGAAAATTCCCTTAAAAATATATATACTTATATTTTAAATATTTTATATTATAACAAAAACAAATTAATAATAAAATAGGCTTCTCGAAATACTTTAATATCAATATTTAAGTTGTTATTGAAGTTTGAAAATAAAGTTTGAATAAAAAAATTATAATAATTAGGTAAAATATTTAAAGTATGACTACTCGTGTTTTTATGAATGTAACTTGGAAAAGCTTTCACCGAGAGGCTCAGTGGTCTAGGGGTATGATTCTCGCTTTGGGTGCGAGAGGTCCCGGGTTCAAATCCCGGCTGAGCCCAGTTTTTTTTTTTTTCTTTTTTAAGTAATTTTTTACGTATAATTCTTTACAATTTCTTTTTAATAAAAATTGTATTTATAACAAAATGGAAATCAAAGAAACAAATAAAATTAAAACAAGCGTAAATAAATGACATTACATCAAAAGAGAATAATTTTTACGCAAAGAAAAAAAAACATATTTTATTAGATTTTAAATTTATACATTTATATTTTTAATATTTCATTTTTTAATCATAAATTCGTTTTGTCGCGAGCAAATAACACGGAAACGAAAATACTTTAAAAAATAATTCGTTATGTAAGTTTATTGCGCGATGGAAAGTATGCCAGCAAGAACGTACAAAAGCAACCGGCTCAGTGGTCTAGGGGTATGATTCTCGCTTTGGGTGCGAGAGGTCCCGGGTTCAAATCCCGGCTGAGCCCGTTTTTTTTTCACCACACCTTTCGATAAACAACTTTTATCATAATTTTATTTATCCTATTTATATCGATTTAAATTATATGCTCATACGTTTCCTCAAAATATAAAAAATTATTCGTAGACTGTGGAAAATTACAGACATATGAATTCTATTTCCTACAGTTTAGAAAGATAATAAAGTTGTTAGTATAACTAAATAATAATAATAAGTGTATGTATCCGGCTGATAAGAAGCCTTTCGAAACGAAATCTGATTGGTCGATTTCTATGAATCCAATGCATTCATAAAAAATAATAGTGACTGAAAGTGTTACATCTTCAGATAAGATCACTATGAACTGAGGAGGGAGAACTACTTCTTACTACACTTACTACGTATAAGTAACATCTCGTTAGTCATATTTCTTTATAATATTTTCCTCCTATACATTAGATTCAAAACGTGAATCGTGAAACGTAAGATGATGCAAAAAAAAAAAAAAAAAAAATATAAAACAATGTACACAAAATACTTCGCTTAATAAATCGTCGTCTTGAAGATTAAGATTTTTCGAAGAATTCTCGATCTCGTAGAATCGAAGCAATTTAACACATGATTCAATAAATCACTCGGTATCAATGTCACCCGTTAATTGACTAAAAAGCGTTTGTTGTTTATCTATTATTACAGGCCCAGCACCATGGCGGCTGAGGAGGGTGCGCTGAGTGGCGGACTCGGGGCGAAATTAAAATGTCCGACCCCTATATCACGCTTGAGGGTGGAGAAGATCGAGGGTGGCCTGATGGTAGCTGGGGTTGTAATAGCTGCGAACTGCCAGATTGCTCTTCCGGCATTCGGCTTCCTCTTTATGCTCGTCGGCGCTGTACTCACCGGTTTGTATCCTCCTCCTTATTGTTTTCATCCATGTAACACGTATATATATATATATATTCTATATTTGATATAATCCATCCATTGTACTCGACGTATTTCCATTGTATCCGTTAATATCGGAACGAATGGAATAACAAAGGATCCTTGATTATTAACCGATTTTATGAAAATGTGTTTCATAAAAAGTATTTAATAAACTGGACAGATCTCCGGAAATCGTTCGTTTGTATTGTAAGGATTGATCGGCATTGTTCCGTTTTTGGTAAATGTTTGTGATTGAACAACGTATATTGTGAGTACAGGTTTAATTTTATTCCGTGGGAATAATTATTGTATTCATAATTTCGTAAACGATAATTTGCAATACGTGGTATAATATAAAAAAATTTTGGCGATTCACTCATCGATGCGAGTATTTTTGCTGTTATTTAATATTATGCATTTAATGTTATGTTTATTAAATAAATAGAATTTATTTAATTCTATTAATTGTGATGAGTTAATGTTTTAATTTTTACTTTTCAAATTTTTGATTAATTCTCTGTTAATTTTTAATTCTCATTTTTAAAATAATTTGTATATAAAAGATAATAATCAATATATATATATATATATATATACACTTCAAGATTTTAGATACTATAAAAGAAAAATAATTGAATACAAGTTGTATTTTTTTTTAAATTACTTCATTTGTAAATAGACATTTAATAATAGATTATTCATAATAGACTATTAATAGATAATTATAGATGATTCATAATAGACCGTTAGATCGCTTTTCATTCATGATTTCTTAATACAGTGTACGAACTTCTTTTGTTTATTTTGTATTATTATTTATACATAAAAATGGAGTATATTTCTTTAAAGGAATAAATCTATTAAACTGCCACTCTAAAAAAAAAAAAACATTTGAGGATTTCAGGCAAAGAGTTTTCTTAAATTTGTTTCTGATAAGAGGCAACAACGAATGTCGGTCAACTAGGCAATAACCGTGTTGTTTCTTCTGCATCATGAGTTTCGTGAGTTTCAACTATAACATTTGCGTTGTTATTTTTTTTTCATAAAGCTTAAAACTGCAACAGTTTCGACGTTATATCGTTTCTTTTAACGTTTCTTTCGCGTGTTCTTTACGAATTAAATTTTAACATTTGTTAAATTCTCGTTATGTATTCGAATTTTAGTTGTGATTAACAAAAGCTTGTTTTAATGCAACTTTGTTTCAGAAGAATAAATTAAATAACTTTCGTGCTTTGAACATGTATATTTGTCTTTTTCTATTTTCTTTCAAATGATGAAATTGATTAATTATAATACATAATATCGAAATTATTAATTTTATAGAATATTTAAAAAAATATCAATATATTTGAAAAAATTTATAGCTATATAAATAAATTTAGTTTAATTACTTTCTACTTTATCTCGTTAAGTAAAATATCATGTTACGTGAAATAATTTAAATATACAGTTAAATAATCAAAAAGAAGTATTCATGATTAAATATTTAGAAATTAAATTAAATTGGAATAATTTTAAAAGAGAAAATATCAAACAAAATAATTAAACAAATTTTTATTCAATTTAATAAAAATATATTTATGTATGAATTCTACGAATTTTATTAATAGAATTAAATGTAATTGTAGAAGTAATTGTAGAATTCTTTTTGTAAATTTTTTCCCAAGTCTAATACAATTAATAGCCTATTAATATAAATTTTATTTCATTTAACTTTTTTAAAATTATTGAAAATATAAAATATAATAAATGATCGATGAAGATCACTAAAAGAATATTTACTAAAATGTCGTAATAAGCTTATATAAGCGATAGATCTTGGAGGCATAATATAATGTAAAATTGCTATATATTGGTCGAAGAGTCATTCAATATATTGTACTTTCCATTTCGGAGAAAGTATACGGGTTGTGCACATTATAATAGAATTATTATCTGCGAGAAAATAATGAATATTATAAGTTTACAAATTCTCTGCTATCATAAAAATTATATAAAAATGGTAACAGTAATAAAAAGAAATTTTGTTTAAAATTGAAAACAATAATTGAAAAATATATAAATTGTTAACATGTCAGAATTTTTATTCATTTGAATGAATTTATCATACATATACTTGTACAATATATATATATATCTAAAAAATATGAAAATTTTTATATTTTACTTATATGTATTTATTTCGAAACTTATCGTTTTTAAAATTTATGTCTTGTAATGATAATCTTCTCTCAAAAGAAGAGGAAGAAAGGAAATACTTTCAGACAAAAATTATTTTCTTTGTCTCGATATATTGAATCCATTCCAAAAGATGAGAAATAGATAAATGAATACCAGAATAAAGATTAATAATAAATTTTTAGGTTAGATTAACTTAGAATACATTATTTGATTACTTTAAAAAAATTTTGACTTGAATATAAATCAGATATAAATTTTCCTCGTAAATATTTAACATTTATTATTAAATTTTAATTTCTAAAATTTATTTTTTATTTAATATTTATTCATATGCAATATTTATTCATATTTATATATTTTATTATAACTATAATGCAAGATAAGTTATAGAATTTTTTTTTTCATAATCATATGTATAATTAAATTATGTATATTTTGTCGAATACATGTGATTCTGTATATTTTTCAGTGATAGTATTGTATTTATAGATATATATATCTACATTCTATATCTAGAATATATGAAACAGATAGTGGCACGAATTTTTCTCACAGATGGCGCCAATATGTAAATTCTTTTCGCAATATGGACACATGTAAAATTCATTAATTTTCGATATACACGTTAAACAACTTTTACTTAAACATTTTTTATATTATAAATAATTTCGATATTTCAAAGAATCGATTTAAACGATTCTATAATGAAAAAAAAAAAAATAGGTTTTATTCATCCCTCGCATATATTTTTCTTAAAAAATATTTATTATTCTTATTATTATCATTTCATGTACAATAAAAAGTATTACGAGGCAATAGAAATACTTTGTTTTACTAGGCTTCTTAAGTCTGTATTAAAGATAATCCTTAATTACTTACTGATAATCCGTGACCTATTTACAATGGAAACTTCATTTGTAACCTATCTTTCGTATTATAGAGCATAAATACACGTGTACGGTATTATACCGTATAAAGTTTGTAAACTCAAGATTAACCTAAACTTAAAATTAAGTATATAATATGCTGTGGGACACACAACATGGAGAAGCAATTTTCTACGAAGTTATAATGTCGTTACATCATGAAATGAGCATAAGAAAATATTATTCAACTCTTTTTCATCAATATATCGTGTTAAGATTGCTCGTTACGTAAATTGTTAATCCCTTGTGGCAGATTACAATTTAATTCTTATACCTTTTTTTTATTAATCCGTTGGGAGAGAATAATTTCGTAGTCGTAGAAATGTTTGAATTGATTTGTTAAAAAAGAAAAAAAAATGAATCAACTTATTGACTGACATAACTGTACTTAACCAATGAAATATTATTTTTTGCTTTATCAGATTGCCATATGTTCAATGTGCAAAAGAATAAGTACAACGAAGTGTTCTGTTTATAAGACAGAATCGTGTTAAAATAACTCAATCGTGAATTTAAATCGAAGATCCGTACAGTTATGAAATACTTATTTATAACTGTTACCGTGTTTCTTAACATTTCTTTCAGAGTTTTTGTTAGAATAAATATTTTTATCTATTTTTCAATGTTCAAAATAATAGACATTTTCTTGTGCAAATGAAAATAAAAAGTTCAACCATTTATTTGTAAGTTTTGAAAATCAAATTTTACTTCGATTATTTCTTCTATCGAATATCGTGGATCTTTATTAATATTTTTAATATTAGAATTTAAATTTTAATTGCCTTTTAATTGCAAATTTAACTCTAAAGCATAAATCCAGAATATAAATGTTCTAGCTTCCACGAATTTTTATTTTTTAATTTTATTTTTAAACTTCTTCGTGTATCTGAGTACTTGAAAAAAAATTTTCAAATTCATTTTTCTATATTTTCAATTCAATAATTCAATATTATATATTTTTAACATTTTGTTCCAATAATTAACATTTACATTTCAATGTCATTATATATTCTTCATATATGAAGAACATATCCAATGTTAATTTCGAATTTTAATTCCATTATCATGGTAAGAAAATTAGTAATTACATCGTTAAAAGAGACTATATTGTACAATTTAGATAATAGAATGTTCGATTACTAGAACGGATATTAAGTCGAGTCCCCACTCGCATCGGTATTTATTGTAATCAACAAAGCTATTCAATAGATCCAAACAACTAGATTAAACCCTAATGTACACGAGCGATGTTTTTTCGTTGAGATATCGTTGCAATATCATCGATTATACGTCTATCTTCATTTTTTATTTAAGAAAATGGAGAAAAACATCGACGATCGCAACGACATCGCGCGGTAAAAAATCATTTACCCTTATTTTGCCTTATATTCGAGTCACATGAAAACCGATCGATTTACCGACTGATGTTAATAAAAATTAATGATCAAAATCAAATTTTCTTTTGATATTCGATAAATATCTGAAATTCTGGGAATTCGTGATCGATAATAATTAGATTTTGCTATTGAACCGTTGAATTTGATTACTGAAAATAGGGATATATCACAAACGATTGGTTAAATTGTTCGACCAATCAGTGTCGATTAAGAGATGTCGACGCGATATGGGGACGCGGCTTTAGAATATTTGAATGATAGATATATTCGCATCCACTTGTCTTTGTTAAATAAATTACATGAGCTTGTTAAATAAATTACGAGAAGCGTAATTAAATATCTTATTAGAGAATGAGAGAGGATTAAACTCGAATGCCAAAGAGGCAAAACAAATTGGAAATCGTATCGGCATAATAAAAATGTTTTCAAACCGAAGATTCTTCACGGATCTGACGGAAGCCTCTGTCGTAT